AGTTCTTAACCATCGCGCCACTCGGCCGGCCCATGTTTTCTTTTTTTAAAAGAAGACATGCGAACAAATGTTAACATTTATTAAATCTCAATACACAGACCTCTTTATATTTTTTAAAGATTTCATAATTTAAATAAAAATATTTGAAACTAGATCATTATAATGTGACTCTAGAAAAGGTGTCGATGGACTTGGGAGAGCACTGAGGAAGGACTCAGGAAGGCTGGATGCAGCGGAGTTTGGCCAAGGAGGGAAGTGGGGAGAGGGATGGTGCAGGGGGCGGGGGTGTCAGCTGTGAGGGTGAGAGCCCCGGTCCGGGAGGAAGCAGAACCCACTTAACGTGCCCTGGTGTGGAGGCTTCCAGGAAAAGGACAGTGTGCTCTTTGTTCCCTTTTCCTCTTTTTCTGCCTTTTTTTGGATTGAGTATTTTTATGGTTCTATTTGGGTCTTTGTGTATCTTTCATGTCTCTGTTTAAGATGTCTAATCTTTTCTCTTGGTTTTTGAAGGTACGGAATATGGTTATAACAGCTGTTTAAATGTCCCTGTCTAATAATTCTATCATCTTTGTCATTTCTGGGTTGGTTTCGATTGGTTTTTCTCTTCATTATCGCTTGTGTTTTCCTGCTTACTTGCATGCCTGGTAATTTCTTGTTGGATGACAAGACTGTGAATTTATCTTGTTGGATGCTGGTTGCTTTTGTATTTCTATAAACATTCTTGACCCTTTTTCTGGGATGTGGTTGAATTACAGTAATACCTTGGTTTGCGAGCATAATTCATTCCGGAAAAAACTACTTGTATTGCAAGACATCGCTCGTTTTTCCACATTAAAATGTGTTAGAAATGTTTGCTCGTCTTGCGGAACACTCGCAAACCACATTACTTGCAATCCATTGTTTTACTGTACTTGGAAACAGTTTGATTCTGGTGGGTCTTGCTTTTAAGCCTATAGGTGGGAACAGAGTTAGGCTTAGTCTAGGGCTAATTTTGCCCCAACCCAAGGCAGGGATCTTCTGAGTACTTGTCCAGGGCTGGAGAATTAGGGCGTTTCCCACTTTGTGTGTGTGTGTGTGTGTGTGTGTGTTGGGGGTGGGGGGTGGGGCGGGGGAGCGCCTGTCCCCAGCTCCCTGTACCTCCAGGCGGCCTGTTTCCCTTGAGTAGCACTTACCCCTCATGTCTGCCTCACTCATGATGGCTGCAGACCCCTGAGCAGCTGTCCCTTCCAGTGCTCTGCTCTGATTGCCAGGGTCCTGGCCTCCAGCTCTGTTTCTTCAGCTCGGAAGGCTGCTGGACTCTGCCTGCTCTCTGCTCTGGCCCTGAACACCTGCTTAGGCAGAAAGTGGGCAGTTAAAGGGCCCATCCTGTCTCCCTTCTGTCAGGGGTCACTGTTCTTCATTGCCTGACACGCAGGGCCTTGGAAACCATTTCACATACTTATCCTTTATTTATTTAGTTAGTTGCAGGTGGGAAGGTAAATCTGCTCCCTGTTATTTCAGCTTGGCCAGGAGCATAAGTATCAAACACAGAGGTTTTATTATAAAGTATAAGCTGGCCTCTAACCAGCCGCGGGACTTGTGAGAATGCTGCCCCCTTTCCGGTTGGGATGCCTGGGAAGGAGAGCAAACGTGGCCTTTTTCTGGGCGTCCTGGGACATCAAGGGGTTTTATGTGTTTAGGGAAGAAGGTGGGGATAGGGCTTGAGCGAAGGGTTCCACAGGAATGAGATCCTGAGGGCTTGGGAAGCAGACAGACCTGCCATAGTGACCACAGAGTCTGGGCTGCAGGACACAGGTGACAGGAGGCTTGGGTCCTGCAGTGGGAAGGTGTGGGAGAGGGGGGCCTCAGGAGATGTGCCTGTCCGGAGGTGTCACTCATTCCCTGGCTGTGTGTCCCTCCTGATATCCCTGCCGTTTGGGATACAGGCGCCACGCCTCTAGCTCACACCAGGTGCGACTTGTCAAGAAGATGTATGTTAGAAAAGCATTGGTTCAAAGTTAGGATAAATAGGCCTAAGGTCAACCTTATAGAGATACATACTTCCTTCTTCTGAAAACTGTATAAAGTACTAGAAAGCCAATTTTGAATTATTTAGCTTAATAATTTGAATTATGAAATGTTAGATGTAAAAAGATTTACCTATTTTAGAAGATGATAATGTTGACTTACTCCTGGCTTGCTAGTGCAACTTTGATTGCCTTGTTTTGTTTGATTTTTTTTTTACAAGGTCTTTTATACAGGAATCATTTTATTTATTTATTTATTTATTTATTTATTATTGGGGAATTGAGGGGATGGGAACAGTGCTGGGGAATTAGGGGAAGGGGAGCAGACAAGTTGCTGTCGTTTTGTTCTTCAATCTAGTTGTGGAGGACGTTGCTTCACTGGCCCAAGTTGGCACCATCATTGCGTTCTTCCCAGGCGAGGCACATCAGTCGCCGGCTTCTGGACGGCCGCTCACTGCGGCTGCTGGCCGCTCACACTGGCTGCTGGCTACACATGGTAGCCCATGGCAACCCACTGCCACAGGGGCTG